TATTGTTGTGTTGTTTAGACCTCATCACTGTGGCATCAGTGATTGATGTTTGCTTCACATCAGCTGATATGGTGTAAGGTAATGCTGTGATGGAATGTGCAGCCTGTTCACCTCGCACGTCTGGAGGCGCTTCTCAAATGAGTGACGGGTCATGGGTGGGGTGTTTCTGATGAGCTGATTATTGCCGTGGCAACCTCTCCTCTCCTTCTGCATCCTCATTGTGCTTCTGATGAAGCAGCAGCCTGGGTGAATACTAACCTTCCAATGTTAACAACCAAATTTACTACAATACATCCACACCATACACAGAGAATGTCTTCAAAATACAGCTGGAGTTCCATAATGAGGACAACAGGTTAGAAACCAGTTACAGTTCAGTCCTGAATGGAGAAATGAGCACCACTTTGAATAAAATGACCAACAGGACATTCATGACTGGAGATGCATTCTGTTTTTATTTATTTATCATCATTATGTTTTTATGAACCATGGTTGCCATAGATGTAAGTCTGATTCAAGAGCACCACCATGTGGATGTGATTTAGTCACCCTAAAGAGGTCATCTGTTAAAGGGGAATTCCACTGATTTTTCAAATTTTCTACACAGTTTAATTAGCAAGATATAAGCATTATATCAATTAATTATTTTTTTATTTATTTTTTAAACATAAAATAATGCAATGTAGAGAAACCTATAAACTCCTATTTCTTTACAGTGGTGGTGATAGGAACCAGGGGTTCTGATGTCTACAGCACAAATGTAGTAATTTTATTTACTATCCAAATCCACCAGTGAACCAGTCTCTTCTGAGTTTTCATATGTAATGTTTATAACAGCAAAATAGTGCTAAATCTCAAAAAAAAAGTTTTCTTTGGGGACTATTTTGCCTTACAGCACCCTGCATGAACCTCTCTGCTATGAATACTTTAAAAAAAAAAAATAAAAAAATGTTAGGCCAAAACCTTTACGTCAAAACCATTGTAAAACAATGTCTCAAGCATCAAACAGTTTTTTTGCAATCATGTAATAACTGAGGGAGCTTTTACAAGCATGAAATGCATCTGGTTCCCATTACCACCACTGTGAACAACTCTGACTTGGTAAGTATCTCTTGAATGAAGCCATACACATTAATCAATCTGAATGACTATGTTTACATCTTAGCATTTAATGATGCAGAGATCATTTGAAAGATTTCCCCTTTAAGTGAGGGTGATTTGTCTCACCAGGTTACAGTGCACATTGCACTTACTGTACTTTGAAAATGGAAACAATGAAAAGTGTGGAAAAGAGAAGCGAGCAATGTTTCAATTTTCAGTAAAAAGGTTTTATTTCCCTGCAACATCAACTTTACATGCATAGTGGCACATGTGATATATTACAATGACTGGAAATTGGGAGAAAAAAACTTATAACACAAGGACTCAGGGGATATGTTTTTATTTTATTTTATTTCTTTATTTTACTTCAATAATTAAAGTTATTAATCAGTAGCGACCATTTAGTGATGATCTTCTTTTTTCTGTGAGAACTAGGCTTTTATCTTGTTGCATTTGCGCTGAAAAAGGTGATGCATTAAATGTGCTTGACCCAAATGTGTGCATTGTTTCCACATGAAGAAAAAAAAATGCATGAATACAGCTATTGCTAAAAGTAAGTAAACTGAAAGACAAGTTTTAATACATTTTATTCATGTGGAAATGAATGAACATATTTTTTTCATGCGGGGATTCAATTCTTCACTGTATTTTTCAGCATGAAAGAACCCAAAGTGTATAATGTGTAAATAATTTGCAAAGCTTGCACTTTTAATGTTGCAGAACACTGAAACTGTAGGATATGCTCTATGAAATACCAGGTGAGTCAGGACTGGTGTATCTGCACCACAGGATTTTAAATAAAAGAGCTGACAGTCATAGTAACGAATACATAAAGCAGTCAGAAAGTAGTGGCGAGTTCAAATGTTGTTAATTCTTCAAAACATCACCTTCTTTAAAATGGGGAAATTGTTCATGTTTGACTAAATGGGAGGTTTAGTAATTACAGCCAGCCATAATTAAAGCTGCAATTATCTAAATTAATATTTCTATAGTATTTATAAAGATCTCTTATTGTCCTATGTATATTCAGCTTTGACATTTTTATAGTAACACTGCTTTAGAGCAATGACTGTTCATTTAATCACAGCTGTGTGTGTCAGAGCAAACACTAGAAGTCAATAGTCACCCAAATCTTTTCCACAAATACATCCCCAAAGCTTCTCTCAAACAGCTCACACTGCATCCAGGTCTTCATTAAGGTTGTGCAGACTTGTCAATGTGCTATAGAGCACAGTTTGACTTACTGCAAACTATAAAAATGAAAAACCCTTCACCATGTATATAAACACAGCAGGCAAAATTTGGACACCAAACATGTTTTGGCTGATTGACCACATCTGGTCTAAGTGAAAAACTGTAAATTTAAGACTTTACTGGCTTCGTTCAGTATTGACAGATCAGAATAATACTTCCTGAGTTAATCCATATAGTCTACATAATTTCCCTTCCTCTCCCATTCAGGGGCAGTGGAAGATGGGAGCAGCTATAGACATAAAACATGAACAAATAAAAGTAAAAATGAGCACATAAATACCCATTTAAAGCAGTATAACATAGCTCTCGCTGTAGCCTTCTATTTTATTGGTGCAATTGGTGCATCAGAATCTTCCATGCATGAAAAACATACTGTAGCTACATGTTTATTTCTCTATTTTTGCACTACACAACCTTCATGCATGACTACTGAAATATTTAACCTAAAAGTGACTGTAAAGTCCTTAATGAGAATCAGTATTTACTGGAAAAAAACTGTTTAAACTGTTGCTAATAAATAATGCATTTGTAATTCAAAATTCAATGCAGTAGGAAGACATAGGCTAGTATCTGTACAGTTAAGATTAAACACTAATATCCACCTGCAAGAAGTGTGACATTCACAGTTAAAGAAAGGGCTTCCATACAGAGGTCCATGTACATTAAGAAAACATATAGTCATAAAACTAGCATAACCCTGTAACCCTCTACAGAATGTACACAGTGCTGGAGAGGTGGTTAAAAAATAAATACCGCTAATTATGTACACAAAATAAACACCATCATAGCAATATGTATGCACATTATGCAAAACAATTTTTGTCTTTCAACTGTACATATATTTGAAAGCTGCCAGCCAGAATATGTTGCTCTTTAAAATATTTTAATTCAATATTTAAGACGGCCTCATTAACTGTCATGCATAATTAAACAGCAGAATTCAAGAAAAACATGGCAAGAGGATGTTCTCCTCTCCTCAAATGAACACTCAGAGCTAGTGTAAAATCACCTGCTTTGTTTTCTTAAAGGCAGCAAACCACAAAACATGACACCAGGCTGCTTAACTGCTCAAATTACAACAGAAATCATCCGTATGATGCAACATGTTTAACTTGTGCTAGCATGCACTGAGATATTTCTATTTATGAATACTGGAGATACATTAAATCTTTGGTCCTGCTATTCTTTATTACTACATCTGAGATCTGCTATACATGGTGAAAAACACTTTAGATGTTCATATTTGAATGGAAAAGCTGTTTTTTCTATCACCTCTCCATTCTTCTACTTGCATTGTGTAACCTGTAGTACATTAATTATACGCTTAGGGCTGGCAGGCAATTCAATTCAGACAAACAATCAAGCTATTTTTTTTCTGACCAAAATTTGTTGACATTTAACATGAAAAGAAATAAACTGACAAATTTCTCATGTTATATGTAGAAAATTTTAGACATACTATATATCTTATTGCAATTTAGAGCTCAAGACTTTGATTAAAGTATATGTAAAGCTCTACTGGAAAACAAAGGCCACATATTTCCAGGATAAAAGTGTACCTCCAAGGCACACGCACACTCATCCAAACGTCCTCACAACCCTGAACAGTCCAAATTCACACACATCCGGCACAACAGAACAAGTAGAATACACACTACATGCATCAGTCACATGTAGCATCTACAGAAACACATGCTGAGATAAAATTGTACAAACAAACCCAAAAAGGCCAGGTCCTATTGAAGAATTAGCATATAGCTGCTGTCAGAAAAAATGTAGTAACTACATTTTCTATCTTTTATGAAAACACCAGCTACCCTTGACATTGTGTGAAGTTTCAGGATGAACGGAACAAAATTACGAGAAGAAAAATCTTGTTACATTAACTTGCACTAAAAGTTACACCTTTTCACTATACAGGATATATAAGATTTATTTTGGCAACAAAAATACCATGAGTAAGTGTTGAATTTGTGCTCCAAATGGACTTAGCAGTGGGGAAGGACCCATGGGCTTCTATGCCTTCAAAAAAGGCCTAATGATTTCTCGGTATTTTCTGTAATCATTTAGTTCATTTTTATTTACTAGAATCATAATGTTTGTTGTGTTTAAACTCTGTAAGTATTGCAGTAATACTTACAATAAAGACTTAAGAGTTCAACTTTTGAAATCCCCAATGGATAATTTTTCCCTCATCGTATCTAGATAGATACAGTGAAGCGAGCTCTCCCATTGGTTAGGACTTTAGGAGCTGAACTGAGGCACTAACACATTAGATTAACCATCAACATAATTAGAATGTGACAGAGAAATGAACCAATCATGAATTACTTTGATTTACAATGAGTAGGACCAATTTAGTGAGAAACATCACTTTCAGTCTTTTGGAAGTCCTGAAACTGTCGCTGACTATGAGCAGCCTGACCAATGCGTTCCAGTCAGTTGTTTGAAACGGAAAACAGCAGCAACTCTATACCAGAGCTCTTCACTAAAGGAGTCACAGTAAAACAGCTACATGGAAAAATAAATGCTAATGTCTTTCACAGGCCTGTTTAATCTAGAATGGTCAAAAAATGTTCAAGTGAATTGCCGTTAGCTTAGCGCTAACATACTACTGGAATCCTAAATAGCAGAAATTAGCATTATCATAGAGGTTTTTTTTCCTCGTTTTTGGCATTTATGGCCCAAACCACAGCTCTAGCTCTAGCCACTGCTAATTCATAATGACTGAAACTTCAGAATACAGAACACATCATGAAGTTTAACCCTCTATTGCACGGTGTTGCCACATGGCAACAATTACTTCATCTCAATTTTACCAAAAGGCAGTAAAAAAAATCTGTTTTGCTATTTAATTGTGGAAAAAGGGTCTTTCACTTTGAAGGGACAAATACTTTAGGACATCACATGACCAGGAAATCTTATTATATTGTTATTATTGTTAAATTTCATTGCTTTCTAATATTTGTAAATATCGGGTTGTACATTTCACTAAGTATAAGTTCAGTCTTGTTTTCAATAAAAGGATGATTTTAGAGAAAAATTTGATTTTATGGTGCTTTTTTTTTAGATTATATGGTGCTTTCCACGATTGCACATTGTTGCCATATGGCAACAATTTATCAACTACCCCCCTTAAAAATACATGCATTATTTATTTTCAAAAATTTCCATTATTTAAGTGATTTTAAATAACAAAAACACATCAAAACATTTTTATCATGTAATAATTCATGCAATAGAGGGTTTTTTTCAACTCAAGAAAAATTAACTACAGAAGTCACTTGACACTATCTAGAGTCGACAGTAATCAAAATCTGCCGATTATGCACTAAAACGTGATGAATTTAGATGATAATTCATGCACAATAATTTGCATAAAGTCCTAATAAAGTGTTAATTGTGCTTTATTACACTAATAATGCCATTATTAGTTATATTCACACAACAGAAAAATCAATTAGGTTCCTTGCTAAACAAAGAAGAATACCTTGATAAATCCTTGTAACAAAGTGTTACTAAACTGTCTTGTTCTGACAGCAACAATATGCATTCATCCCCACTGGCCACAATCACACTCAAGCAACAAGCTACCTATACACACCCTTACACACACTAGAAGTACAGGTAGTAGGTCCAGTAGAGCAGGTTAATGAAGATGAATGACAGGGGGAAGGTCAGACGTGAGTAGTTGTCGATGTAGTGTGGGTTTTCCACATGGCAGCAGTTCAGGAAGCACACAACACGCCGTGCCACTGACAGGGACTTGGCGCAGCCACTCTGGGGCTGAGAGGAGGAGGGCTTCTCCTCTTTATTGTCACTGGGAGAGGGGCTGCTGGTGCTGCCTGCGCGGGACAACATCTCCTCCCTCTTGCGCGCCCGCAGAGCCGCAGAGCTTCCAATGGAGGTAACGATCCCATTCATCTCATCCTCACGCTCCTGCATCTCCTGCCCATACTGATAACCACAAAGAGATATGAAAGAAGAGCTCAGTGGACATAGTAGCAGAGCGTGTTATGAACTCTTTTACAGAGCCAATATTCTGCATTTCTCTAGTATTTGATTTTCCCCTTGACATCCAGTTATAATATTTGTGCGGTTTCACATCATTGATTTTTACATGATGCATCTTTATGCCTCAGAATTAAAAATGCTGTTTTTGTTACTGTGACTACAAAAATTTAACACATCCAACACATCTTAAACATGGCATATTTATGCAAATACTTGTGCAACATTTGTTTAACATACTAGAAAAAAAACATAAAATATAACACATGCCATAACTTTTGTTCAGGTCATTTTTCTTTGTAGAGTATGTGTACTTATTTTCACATAGAAAATCAACAAAAATATCTAATTTTACCAGGGGCACACAAACTTTTTCATATGATTGTGTTCACACATTTAGTTTTTAATGATGTGGCCCCATTAAAACAAAATTTCAAATCTGAGGTGGCTACAGTAACACTTACATAGACAACTACTGTATACAATCCTCAGTAATGATGATGATGTTGATGATGATGATGATGATGGTAATAATGGCAATAAAACTGTGATCTAGAAAAAGAAATATTTTGCAATAATAACCATGAAGATGTTGTTATTTTCATGCCAAAAAATAAATAAATGCCAGAAACATAATAATGCCAGAAAGAAAACAATGACTGTCACTGATGAAGATAAAGTCTTACCATATATGCATTGGCAGCATTTGGCTGGTGCAAAGTGCAGAAATGGGCAACAGCATACTCAATGAGGGCACCAAAGATGAAGCTGAAGCAGATGCCCAGGTACACATCAATTGCTTTGATAAAGCAGTTAGCGTTGGGAAGAGAAGTGCGTGCCCCCATCATCAAGGTGGTCATTGTTAGGACTGTCGTCACCCCTTCAGGAGAACAAACATGTTCAGAGTTAACTGTGCAAAAATGTATTGAGAGGGCTGTAAGCCTGATAGAATGAGAAAGTAATTTATGCAGCAATAAAGAAATGGAAATTATTATAAGTTGTCTAAGTGTATTGCTTTATAGTTCAGACTGGAATCCTCAAAGAAGTCAGAAAAAATAAACTTGCGCCATTTCGGTCCCAGTAACAGCACTCCTTACCAGGGCTGCCGGAACCACAGTGGCAAGCGGGCATCCACCCCACCACTTTTCAAAGAACTGTGGCGACGCCCCACCACTTTTTGAGTTCAGGACGCCTTACGTCTATACATGGACTCCTTTTTCTTTTTCTTTTATTTTCTTATTTTCTTTTTTATTCTTTTGATAACCCTTCAGTAAACTGCTTTCCTTCCATAAACTGCGTTTCTGTAAAGCTGCTTTGAGACAACACTAGTTGTAAAAAGAGCTATACAAACAAATGTTGTTGTTGTGGTTGCTGTTGTTGACACTGTTCATGATCAGGTTCAGAGGTTTGTAGAGTAGCACAAATCAATTCTCAAGTAAAAATATTGATACCTGAATAAAATAATTAAGTAAAGGTTCCAAAAAAACTTAAGTAGAATTACAAAGAAGCATGTTGACAATCTACTTAAGTACTGAGTACTGCAGTGGAACTTCTTTGTACATCCAGCATTTATCAGCACAGGAACTAAGAGCGGCTCTGTTCTTCCTCTTTTTGGGGATTCTTTCGGTCCAGAATACAAAGTTCCAAAGTCAGAGATCACAAAGCAGTACAAATATCGCCACCATCAAAACAAACTGAACATTCACAAAAAATGGAAGTAGTATCTAAATATGAATGACTAAAATGTAACAGAGTAAAAAGATCACTCACTTTAGGAGAAGTGAAAGTAATACGATTTGAAAAATACTCAGGAGAAGAAAAAGTTAATCAATATTTTTACTGAAGTACATGTACTTGAGTAAACTAGTTACTACCCACCTCTGAATAAGTTCATAAAGACATCATTAGCATGACTCCTTACCACTTAAACTTGAACTGGTAAGCTGCAATAGACTACACTGGTGGTTGTATGTAAAAAACAAAAAAAATGGGACATGACGAATTGGGAAGTGAATAGTTTGAATAGTGAATAGAAGTGAATAGTTTGAATAGTGAATAGAAGTGAATAGTTTGTTCTGAAACTTCAACAATATTTACATCAAATTTACAAGGCAGAGTAAGTATAATAATAAAAATGAAAATGTAATCATTTTACAATGTTTAGCAGACTGAGGTAAAGCGCAGAGAGGACTTTTCTGTCCATACCTATACAGATGCGAGCAGGAACAGAGGACTGACTGATCCAAAAGGAGACCCAGGAGAGAACCACCAGGGCACTAGATGGCACATATGTCTCTAGAATGAAGTAAAGGATGCTTCGCCTCAACTGGAAGTGGAAGATCAGCTTCGGGTAGTTACCTGTGAAGATGTGTCAGAATTAATATGGGTGACAACTTGACAACTTTCAACTTCTATATACAACCACCATTGTGATGCCTCGATCTGAAGGTGGTGATTCAACTGCATTCAAGTTTCTTGCGATGGTGCTGTTATGGCTTCTCAGACCACTTCTATGCTGATCACACTTAACTAATCCTTTCCTTCCCACCTTTTGACACTCAAGCTTCCATTTCGGCGTGTCTGGCTAATAGCTCATCATGGATGACAGCCCACCACCTAAAGCTGAATTCCAGTAAGGCCGAGCTACATCCCTGGAACTACAGGCCCTTGCTATGATCTCATCACATCCTTTGAGAACTCCTTTGACATTCTGTCTGAAGATGCACAAAGCCTTGATGTAATTCTGGATGACCAGTTAAAGTTCTCAACTCATGTTGTAAACCTAAATTGGTCATACAGGTTTCTCCTCAACACCACACAGAAGATTTGACCCTTTTTTCTCTAAGAAGACCAGAGAGGTGCTTTTTCAGTCTCTTGTCATCTCAAAGCTTGACTACTGCTCCTTGCTGGTCTTCCTATGCAGGCCATCAAACCCTTGTATCCAAAATGCAGCAGCATGGCTTGTGATCAGTCAGATCAGATTTAAACCATGTTAACTTGCCTACAAAGCCAAAAATGGACCTGTCCTGCACAAACTGATGGCAATGGTCAAAATTCAATCCATATCTAGAGCCCTTGAGCTTTAAGCAAACCTTGACTTGACCTGCCATCCATCAAGACCAGGCTGAGCACCAGAACAAAATCATTAGTGGGGCTTCTAAGAAAAATGTTCCATAGGTCTGCCCACAGCAGCCACACATTCAAGAGAGAATCAAAAAGAAAGTGAGATTTACAGCAAATCAACAAAGGTCTGTCCATTTAGGAAATCTGCTAATTTATCTTCTCAAAACATACAGTGCATGCTTGTAGTGTAGCTAATACAGAGTAATACATGCTATTATAACTGATGTAGCCTTTTATATTGGGTGTGCACAAAAAGCAATAGCAGCATACTAAAAGTTTAGTTTCATCCTTTTCTGCCATCTCTTCTTCCACTGACTATCCAAATAGTAGAGTCCCTTACTGTCTTCACATGCCAACTGAAAATTCCTTTCTTCATGAAGCATTTAAATGAGCCCAAATCTTGCACTCACTGAAACATGTCATGTTGCACTTTTAATATCTTATCTGTGCATTTCATATCTTTTTATCTAGGACATATATTACCCATAAACTGTCTGTATGTGAAAGTTTGCGCTGAATCGGGCTAATATAAATGTGTATGTGAACTTACCAGTCTCATAGACGGCTTCAGACTCTGAAGTATAATAGTCCTCCAGGGTGTACTGGGCCAGCTGTAGAGTATCAAGTCCGCTAACTGACTGGTTCCCCCGAGTCCAATAAAACACCACATCTTTCACATTATAACCCCCTGCAGGGATGAAACCACAGCATCAATTAAAAACTAATTATCATCTCATAATTCCAGTGCTGCGAGATCATCCTATACCCATGCACTCGCTTATGTTTCATGGCATTGCCGATCTACCACAAGATTAGAATACTCAATCAACAGTAATGTGCATTTTATAGGTTAGGCTCATGCATAACTCAGTATTATTTTATTAACTCAGTAACAGTAGTCCACAGCCTGCTTTGTAGGTCTTCAGGCTCACCACAAGAAGGCACTGTTTAGTCATTTAATGCCTCTCAGGCATGCCTGTAATTGCATGAACCTTTTTGCACACAAGGTTTTTGCATTAAAGGAATACTTTTTCCCTGCTTGCACCCTATAAAACACATCCTATATGAAAGCTGCTGGCCCAAGTTTCCCCCAGGCCAAAGCATATTTTACTAAAGAAAAGAGGCATCCATAATTGATCTGTGAAGGGTGAAGCAACTTTAGCATGCTTGCTTTTTAGAGCACTGTTCCTTATTTATCTCTTCTGCATATGGCATGTTGCACTGGCTCCCTTCAAACCAGAGAATCCTCCAGAATGTTTGGGTAAAAATTATTTAAAATGCTTGAGCTCTGAGTTGCATAAGCAGAAAGAAAACGACTGCCCAGAGCCAAAAAATAGAGGGTGAGGGTTATTTAAATTTTTTTTGGAGGTGAACTGGTGGCAGTGTGGCACTGGGTGTTCAGTGCGTGGGCAGCGCTGATGCATTTGAGCCCATTCTGCATATATCTGTCAGGTGTTAACCATGCACCTCAGAATCATATAAGCAGACAATATAGAATAAGCCCCTTCTGAAAAGTTCATGTATGCCAGGGTGAGTTAATGTGATTACAAGGGCTTGTGTATGTGTGTGGAAAATCCTGCATCATGATGAAATCTGCACAGTGTATGTGTTTTGGGACTCGTGCTTGTAGTTAGTGACTATGAATTTTTCACTGAAATTTGACCATTTTGAGCTGGGATGTTAGCATTTAAACAAACCTGTATAGATAAAAAGGCCCTTATCTTACATTTTCCATGAACTGTTTGATATGATTGATTTGTTTATTTTTCACCCAGAACTTATAATTCATAATGAATTTATACTTGACCATTCTGTAGCCTCACTTTGTCCATACCGAATTAACTGTTACTGTAACTGTTACTGTCTCTTTAAGACTGATGTAAACAATCTCTGTTCTGAGTGGCTGCCCTCTACTATTTGGTCTGAAATGTATAAACACATTTTTAAGCTCAAAAAAGTTCATAGAATTAACTTTAGCCTGCCTTGTCAGTAGTAACAACACTCCCTACCACTTCAGTGTGAATGGGAGGGCTAAACTGCAGCAGGCTGAATGGGTGGTCATCTGCATATAAATTTAAAATGGGCTGCGTTTCACAGTCTAGTTTCTACATATGGACCTGATGGATTGAGGAGTATGTAATATGTTTTTCAATCTTCAACAATATTACAGAAAAATTAATAAAAGGAAAAGAAATTTCGATGTTCCATGTTGTGGGCACTTTAAAAGTATTGCCAAGAGATGACACAGAGTTAGACATCACTGTCTCACAGAGGTAGGTAACCTGCACTGCCATTCAAAAGTTTGGAATCATGTGTTATATTAATAATTTCTGCTATTTATACAATAATATCTTACACACTGTAGACTGAAATATGTACAAGTTAGACACTAGCAGGTACTTTAAGTTGTTAATTGTTTTATTCAGTACTTTTTCATTTATTACAAATTAATGATAAATGATATACTGTAATTATCTGTTTACAGCAATTTCTTCATAGGTTATGTGCTTCGAGATTTGATAACTAATTTTTAAATATGAGGAATTCTTGATGTTATTTTGTATGACTTAATTTTAAATGTTCTAGGGCTTTCTCAATCAATGGAATCATCCATAGCTCAATATGGGCATATCTAAATTTATTTCATTTTTACAGCTTCATACAAATTACTTGAATTCTATGACATTGTCAAGTAGGAGCACGGCAGCATCATAATAGAATCATTTTATACATATACATGCAACTAATTTGGCTATATAATAAAGGACCCATATCATGAAAAGACAAAAACTAAATGTTCTCACTTATGTCAAGTAAAAATATATGATGTAGCATGTAGATATTTTTAAAGTTTAAAACATACTGTTTAATCCCCAGGCCATATGTGGAAACAAAGCTGTGCAAACAACCCATATTGAAATCATTGGTTTTGTGATATCACGAAAAAAAAGTATTAAGTATATCCACCTATTCAGCCTACACTGTTAGAAATAAAGGTACTGTGCAGGTAAATTTATCATTTCTCAAGCTACAAATTATGTAAATTTACCCTCAAATGTACAACAGTGGTTTTAAGGTCCAATTGTGAAAGTTTTTCCAGGTGAAAAGTATGTTTTTGTATCTTTTCATAGCCTAATGTTTTAAAACAGAACAATAAAATAAAAAGGCTGGAGATGAGAGGGGGTGTCAATACAATTTCCAAAAAAGTTGGGACGCTGTGTAAAATGTAAATAAAAACAAAATGCAATGATGTGCAAATCATGTAAACCATATTTTTAAAGGAAAATACTACAAAGACAACATATCAAATGTACAAACTGAGAAATTTGATTGCTTTTTGAAAAATATATGCCCATTTTGAATTTGATGCCAACAACACATTCCAAAAAAGTTGTGACAGGGTCATGTTCACCACTGTGTTTCATCACCTCTTCTTTTAACAATACTCTGTAAGCATTTGGGAACTGAAGAGACCAACTGCTGTAGTTCTGAAAGTGAAATTTTTCCCCATTCTTACTTGATATAGGATTTCAGCTGCGCAACAGTTCGGGGGCTCATTTGTTGTATTTTTTATTTCATAACGCTCCAAATATTTTCAGTGGGTGACAGGTCTGGATCGCAGGCAGGCAGATTTAGCACCTGGACTTTTTTAATACGGAGCAATGCTGTTGTAATAAATGCAGAATGTGGTTTGACACTGTCTTGCTGAAATAAACAAGGCCTTCCCTGACAAAGACATCATCTGGATGGCTGCATATGTTGCCAAAACATGTGTATATCATTCAGCATTAATGCCTTCACAGATGTGCACATCATGCATACCATGTGCACTAATGCACCCCTATACCATCATGAATACTGGCTTTTGAACTGTGCACAGATAACAAGCTGAGTGGTCTTTAGCCCAGAGGATGCAGTGTCCATGATTTCCAAAAAGAATTTCAAATGTTGATTTATTGGACCACAGGACACTTTTCCACTTCACCTCAGTCCATTTTAAATGACCTCAGGCTCAGAGAAGGTGGCAGCATTTCTGGATCCTGTTTATATATGGTTTAGTCTTTGCATTTTAGAGTATTAACTTGCATTTGTTGATGCAGTGACAAACTGTTTTCACAGACAGTGGTTTTCAGAAGTGTTCCTGAGCCCATGCAGTGATTTCCACTACAGAATCATGTCTGTTTTTAATGCAGAGCTGTCTGAGGGCCCAAAGATCATGGCCAACAAATACTTTTTGGCCTTGTCTGTTGCATACAGAGATTTCTCTAGAATCTCTGAATCTTTTAATGTTATTATGTAACATAGATGATGAAAAGCAAAAGTTCTTTGCTGTTTTATGTTGAAAAATGTTATTCTTTAACTGTTTTTTATGCTTATGCAGTCTTTCACAGAGTGGTGAACCCCTCCCCACCTTTACTTCTGAAAGACTCAGCCTCTCTGAGATGCTCTTTTTATACCCAATCACACTACTGACCTATTGCCAATTGCTATTGTTTTTTTACCAGTCTTTTGCTGTCCCTGTCCCAACTTTTTTGGAATGTGTTGTTGGCATCAAATTCAAAATGGGCAGTCTCAACATTTGATATGTTGTCTTTGTATTATTTTCAATGAATGGTTTAAATGATTTGCACATCATTGCATTTTGTTTTTATTTAAATTTTACACAGCGTCCCAACTTTTTGGGAAATGGGTTTATTTCAATGGATTATCGCACAATTATGTTCCCTGACTAAGTACTGAGACATACCCTTGAGCGTACCACCCCAGTGACAAGAGGGGTACTGCCCCAGTGACAGTTTCATACCTTTATTTCTGAGAGTGTACAGCAGATTAGCTCTGATCATTCATGCTGCAGTTATAAGGACCATTTTAGCCAAGACTGCTTTTTGAATGAGACACAATACAGAGCAGCCAATCAGTGCAAGGTAATTTACATATATCAGCCTCAAAGCAAAGTAACATAAACAGCCTGTTCAATTTTGAGGGATGAAGAGAGGTTGGAAAATGGTCATGTAGATATGAATAATAACTATTTTGGGTGCATAGAACCTCATAAATATTGAAAAGTGGACCTCAGGCAAAAGAATAAAGTACAAGGAAAATTTGGGATATGAGCTATTTAACTCCTTAAAATTCCAGGCTTATTACATACTAGGGCTTATTATTCAGTAACTACAGGGACTTCAATGCAATCAGGCTGAGCGAGTCTTAGGTTATAGAAGCATGTAATAAATCTTCGGCTCTGGCCATTTAAATGGTTAATGAATAAAGTAATTCCTTCTAGTGCTTCCCAGTAAACCTTTGAATGGTGATTCCAAACTTCTGAACTGTTTTGTACATCCTACAGTGGAGCACATGCTGCACTTTGTTCTGCTAGTTCCAGTGCAAAAAACTGTATGTGATGAATGTTTATATCACCCCTTTACCAAACTGGCAGTGAATCAATATGTATTTGCTGCAGGAGATGGAGGAGATGGTACTGGCATGAAAGTACAGGGAAAAACCCCAGAGTCTCTTCTCAAAAAAATGGAGTTAAAAAACCCAAAACTTTCAAAGACCAAACATCTACAGCAAGCAGAGCAATATAAATGAACAGGATAAATATACTTTTGGTCTAGATTACACACTTAAACAGTTCTCCACCGAAAAAAAAATATATATATATATAAAATATATATATTATTATATATAATATATATATAATTAGTGTCTGGAGAATCTTCTCTCTTTAGATTATTGTACTGGTTAATTCATTATGTTCACTTCATCTACAAGGGGGATTCATATTAAAATCTAATGTAAAGGAATATATTACTTTCGATGTAAAAACTAATTTTTTCCTCCATAAAGCAGTGCAATTTACAGAAACGCTGCCTGGCATGTGTGGATAAATATTTCATATGTGAGGCTTACAGCTCTCCAGCTGGAGTGTGCAGGTTTGTTTGTCCATGGGGTACTTAGTAAGGTCCATACTGCAGGCCACTGTGGTTGTGATTCTGGAGAGAGAAGAGAGAGAGAGAGAGAGAGAGAGAGAGAGAGAGACAGACAGACAGACAGACAGAAAATGAGAGAGAAAGAGAGGGGTACAAAGAGGGGGAAAGACAAACAGAAAGAAGGAGAAAATTAGAAAATTACATAGGAAGAAAGTGTGAGAAAGAGAGAAAGCGAGAGAGAGAAACAGAGACAGACAGAGAGAAAAAGAAGAGAGGGAGAAAGAGAGAGAGTTGAGGGTGAGGGAGATGCAGAGATAAAAAGACAGAGAGACAAGAGAGAAACAGAAAGAAAGAGAAAAAGCAGGAGTGAGATAGAGATCAAGAGAGTGAGAGAGAGGGCACAAAGAGAGAGAAAGAGCGAGAGAGAGAGTGAGAGGGTGAAAGATGAAAAGTGAGAGAGTAAAGCAGAGCAAAAGAATGAGAAAGAGACAGAGACAGGGAAAGGGAGAGAGAGAGAGAGAGAGAGAATAGAAGGAGGTAGAAAGAGAGAGACAGAATGTCACTGTGAGTGCTATGTTGGCAATCAGCTCTATGACAGTCAATCCGCTGTAACGGCACTTTCCAGCTTAATCCTGCATGCCAGCTGCTCAGTGAGCACAAACTCTGCCCTGTCCTCCTCTCTCCTCTTCTCATCCTACCTCACTGCCCTTCTAAACTGCACTCATCCTCACTCTCTCCCCATCCAGCTTCCCCTCCCTCCATGCCCTCCTCACGGTAAATCCTCTCTTTCTCTTTTATCCCCCTCCTCTTCCTTACTCATGTTTAATACAACAACAACAGCAGGGTGTGAGTGACAGGCTGAGAGACAGTGAGAGACGTGTGAGGACCTGAGGGCGTAGAGCACGGTTCCGTTGGGGAATATCCTGATCAGTCTGTTCTCCACAGTGATGTCATGCAGGAAGGATTTCTTGGAGTCCACAATGAATGTGTCAGGCACCCACAGGAGCTCCACGAGCCTGCCGTCCAAACTTAGACTCTTATTGCCATCGAAGCACAGACGCTCATCTGTCCACCGCTGCCGCAGGAAGATAGTGGCCGTGTAGTCCTGAAAGGGACCCAGAACATGCACAAATATATCTTTACATTAGTGTTGTGCATGGCTGTGAGTGTGTGTCCGCATTGTATATGTGTGCTAGGACAGTGTGTGCTAGGACACTCTGTAACCCTTCTGCACAGTGACTGCGAATATATATATATATATATATATATGTGTGTGTGTGTGTGTGTTTTTTGTACCAAAAAATATTCATTATTCTTTATTACATGATCATCCCTTAGAATTAAACAGCCTATTTTTGTTACCGTGCCTTTAAGACTGATGTAAGTTTTCTATGATATCAGCCTTTTAAATCTAATTGTAATCTTGATCCTTAGAAGTTGGAGTTATGTCCAGTGATAATAAACACATTGTGTAATTCAATATTATTTATCTCCCACTTGTAGCTCATTTAAGCAGGTGGAGAAATTCTGTCCAAAATGTGGGTTCTGCACTTAAATAGTGCCATGTTTGTGTTCATAAGTGGAAGATTAGATTTTTTCTGTTTTAAATATAATGAAAGCAGAAAGAAAAAACATCCATTGCATGTTTTGCCACATTTTGCAAAATTTCAATGTAGATGTAAATAATATTACACATACAATTATACATATACATTACACATACAAAAAATATTAATCATATATCATAATTCATATTATTTTATTAGAGAAATAAAAATAAGTCAGTTGCTTCTCTTCTCAAAAACTTGTTATGCCCAAAATTTTATACGAAAAGATATACAGCATTTTGGAATGAAACCCTTCATCTGTATCATAGCCAAGACATTAAAACATATGTACTTGCACAAAACTGAAACATACTTTCAGATACTTATAGCTAGATACAGTATACAGTTTTATATACAGAATACAGCTACTGTATATATGACCTATAGGACTTTGTTCTTCAGGATATTTTGCAACTTAGTATCTCACCATGTTGATCTCAGATATAGTGTCTATGCTGGCGATGTCCAAACTCATTCCAACAGTAACAGGGCCATCTGCAGCAGAGCCATACAAAAGCACAGCATAACAAAGAGCAGCAGAATTAAAGGCAGGCTGAAGTGAACTCATGGAAAAGAAAAGCTCTAATGCACATGCGTTACTATAGTGGACTACATTAGCTCATGCCCGAGGCACTTCCGCTAAGTAAAACCAATTCTGTATTCTGTCTGCTTGTGCACTTAATGCTAACACAGCCTTTAGAGAAAATGAAACTTTAAAGAACCACTTATGTTGCTTAATTGTGTGGGTAAACGTAAAAGCTTGGCATCCATACCGCCGAAGAAAGGCCTCAGGTACTTGTTGTATCCCTTCATCAGTTTCTGAATGGTGGGAGGCAGCACCTCTTCAGCGCTGGAGCTTGAGCCCTCGATGATCCTGCAGACGCAACATGGAAATGCTCATCACTGCCCTTTCTCACATGCTGCACTAAAGCAATAGTATAGAAGAGGGAGTGATTCATGATGTAAACCTCATGGCTGTCATTTGGTTGTAAATCAACGTAGCTGTGTGACATGACCTTGAGTGTTCTATTGATTTTATACAGCAATTTTGCGAAGTAAAAATAGAAAAATAAAGAAGCCCTTAACGTTGTTTCTTTTATGTGTTTTTAATATTGGCAATTTCTTCCATCAAAATAGTAGTCCTGGTAACCTTACAGTAAAGCCACAATTGTTGTTTCTTAGCAACCAGTCAGCAGAATGATACAGAAAAAACAGGTAGAGTGCCTTTCCAGCCTCCTCCCACAAACAGAGGTGGCAGAAGTACACAAGGTCCTTACTAGCAATCTAGTAAAAAATACTCAAGTAAAAGTTGAAGTATGACTTACATTTTTACTCAAGTAAAAGTATAAAAGTTAATACTCCTGAATGTACTCAAAGTTAAAAAGCACAAGTATTTTAAAAAAATCATTGCTAATTCAAATTTTTAAAAAGGATATATTGTTTCTGAGGGTCAGAGGCACACATCCCTGAAACTGAGCATACACATGGTCATGATGGTTTATACTAGAACTGCAGGCATCATCCACAAAAATCCACTTGTTGAGAGCACCAAACAGGTTACCTTTGAGATTTGAGATGGACATTGTTGGAATCTTAACAAAGAAAAAACTGCTAAGTAAGGCCATGGCCGGAATGGGATTTGTTTTCAACCCAGGAGTTAAATGATGCAGATCAGCCCACCCCAAACTACACACACACACACACACACACACACACACACACACACACACACACACACACACACTCACACAAAACACGCTAAAGTCCTACAATGTCATGACATCAGGCTACAGGCTGTTGGCAGTGCAGTCATTATTTTACATATTCCAACACTGCTACCCTGATACTAAACAAGAACAATCAATCAGAAATGCAACACTGCAACACTGCAGCAGCTTCAGTATACAGCATGTTCACCACAGACACAACTTTTGCCCAGAGAAGACGAGAACTGTCAGACAGTTAAAGATGTTCCAGTTTAAAACCTACTACTTATCAAAGCCAAGAAAACAGGTTACTGTCAAAGCAGACAGACTCAATGAAGATGACATGAAAGTTGAAAAACATCAGCAAAAAAGTTAAAAACCATCATCTTAAACACCTAAACTTAATAACTGTAGACAAAAGCATATTGCCACAGCAGATATGAAACATGGTTATGATTTATTTATGGTCTTACCTGTGATGACCTGACACACTAACTACGTTAGATGTTTGCTTTGACATTTTCACAAAGCCCAGGCCAGCTTATGTAATGAAACAGCACTAAAAGGACCAAATTCGCAGAAAACCGACAACGATGACGTTTTTTACATTTGTTTTTGGCTTTGGACAGGAAGAAAACCAGTTCAACTTTTAACGCAACTGGAGCTTAAAAATTCAGACACTGGTGAGCTGATAACAAACTGAAGGATTGAAGCAAAAAACTCAGTAGAGCTGCCTGTTCTATCAGCCAGCAGCAGATTGGATAAAATTGTGGTCAGATTCACACAGTGACGCTAATCTCTCGAGGTTGAAGTCAGCTTATTCAAATGTTCTGTTCCACCTTAAAAAATCCTCGCTATCGTTTGTCTAGGCGTCTAAACGTAAGTTAACTGAAGTTATCTTTTTAACGAGTCTCAGTTATAATCAGCAAATTGGAGCTGTATCGCTTGAGGTGGGGGCTGCTGGTTTAACCCCTAAATTACTACAGACATACACTTGAATGTAATATAGTTTGAGTGTTCTTGTGCGTATATGCTTGAGTTTATTAGCTCACAGCAAGCGGCCCACCAGGAATTCTCCCGACTCTCCCAATTACCCATTGCGGCACTAATTAAGGCCTTTTTTTCACACTCATTGTCCGTAAATGCTGTCGCTTTATTTCTTTCTTTATAGACCACTGAAGTCATTGTGTAGTCTGCGTCATGCCCACACCAGGAACTCCAGGTCTAAGCTGGATTTCTCTATGGCCAGAATGAATAGTGTTTTCGAAAAACCTCTGCCCACAAACACATTCCTTCACAACAGATGTTACAAAAACATTAAAATGCTAAAATCCCTTCAACCTAATGATTATAGGTTGGAGTTTCATTACGCAGACTAAGTTAAGGTCATTTGAGACATTTTTTGTCTTTCTCCACAAATCCTAAGCATAAATTTAACACATGATATATTTCTGAGATCTTCAGGATGTATTCTAAAAAGAATTAAAGTATACAAATGATAATTATTGTTATTTTCAATATAGAGTGCTAAAATCACTTCTGTATTTTGGTTTTGGGACAGCACACGAAGGAATGCCATCTGGGATGGTATCATTTGGGGCAGCTTTTTCTTCATAGACTTCGTTACAACTGAAGTTATACAGTTGTAGGCAAAAGTTTGAACAACCTTGTCAAATTACATGCTTTAATGATTTTCTAAGTGAAAATACTCATCCACTGCAGGAAACAAGTTTAACATTTTGTGAAAAAAAAACAAAAAAAACAATAATAAAACCTTAACTGTGCCATAACTTTTGCACAGGTCACATTTTATGTTTTCAGTATGTTAAATTCAGCAAATACACAGTATTAAAAAAAAAGTTCAGAAGTGTGTTCTCTTAGAAAATCAACAAAACATGTAATTTGACCAGGGGCTCTTTTCAGGTATCTAACACATTTAAACTTCCAGCGGGCTAGCAGCATCCTTATAAAAATTGGAGAATGGGTCATACAGCTCAACTGATGGATTAGTTGAACCCTCATCTGTGTTTGTCTAGTTTAACCGAGTTTTGATGATAGGCAATAGTCTTAACTGTAGTATTTACGGTGGAACATCAGCGTGACGTGACATGTCAAAAATAGAAACAGGACGTCCGACAAACACTGAGCTCTGCCATGGCATCTGGTGTAAACAGCTTTCTTGATTACAGTGGTTTTAGTTTTCTCATTTTGTTGCTTGCTGTCAAGTTTTGTCGCTTGCTGTCAACAAGTAGTTCTTTTTGGCAGAAAATACTTCATACTTGTAACTAGTAAAGTGCTTTTCTGGAAGAAAATGCAGAGTGATTGTGCAACTTAGGCTTGCTAGACGGTTGCTATAGTATCCCAAGTGGTTGCTAGGGTGTTGCTAAGAGGTTGCTATGGTATCCTATGTGGTTGCTAGGGTATTACTAGGTGTTTGGTAAGGTATCCTAGGTGGTAAGGGGTTTTTAGGCGGATGCTATAGTATCCCAGTTGATTGCTAGTGGGTTGCTAGGTTGTTGCGATGATGTCCCAGATGGTTAATAGGATGTTGCTAGTGGACTTCATTGTCATATAAGAATAAGAAGAATATACCATCACATAACAAAAGTGAAGTGACTGTTATTTTTTAAGGCCTTTTGCTGGTGCTGTTGATTGCAGAATGATACATACAGTGATTAATCTGGAATGCCATTATCGGGTCATATTAGAAAACTTCTCAGCCAGTCACATTACACTAACTTTTGTGTAATTCAATTTTAATTGTGTTGGTGTACTTACAAAAGGTGAATGATTCCCTTAAACACTTTGAAAATGTTTTATAATATATTATATTTTTGTTGATGACAACATATACAATATATTTCATTTTCATAGTGATTCTTTTTACAGCGCATCTGTAAATCTGCTGGACTGCATGTTTCTTTACTCAAGTAATCACAATGACCATTCTTGTATTAATTAGGGGGCCCTCAAGCATTGTTACTATTAATAAAGAGAAAGCGAGTGAGTGTATGTGTATGTCTGTGTGTGTGTGTGTGTGTGTGTGTTTGTGTGTGTGCGTGTGTGCGTGCACATGTGTGTTTATGTGTGCGCGCTTGTATGTTCCACTAGATAAACGAGGTGGAGTCAGCATGTGCGGGGTGATGGGGGAGGCTGAGGCTGTGTGTGTTGGGAAGAAGGCAGATACAGAGAGAGAGAGCGAGAGCGAGAGAGAGAGAGAGCGAGAGAGAGAGAGATCTGGTTAAGCGAGTTCTGCAGTCAATAAGCTGCTGTGATGGTTCCCACGTATGTTTTGTTGCCTGTAAGAGGCAGCCAGCAGCTCTCTCTCTCTCTCTTTCTCTCTCTCTCTGTCTCCCGCTCTGCCCAGAGACACCAAGCCTTTTCTTTTCATTCTGGAATATTTATGAGGGTGTTGTGCTGGGGTCGATCATGCAGCCTTTTTTTATAAGTGTATCTCTAAACGTTTCTTACATATGGCGCTACACTCTGGGGGACGCTTGTTCTAAAGCAGGGACTCAAATGAAGCTCATATACCCGCTGCACTGCAGACATGGAGACTTGTTTACTCCACAAAAGAGAGACAGAGAGAGGAGAAATTTAGAACACATACAGTCCAAAGAGCAAAAAACGAAATTCAAAATACTTATTTTGTAAGCAATACAAGATCTCTAAAACCATTTGCTGATAGATCTGTAGTTTGTTTACATTTTGTCTTGATCAGCCACGTAACATATTCATTTTAAGACTTTGTGATGCGATACTTAATTAAGTAGTGTTTTTATGCAGCAGTTCTAGATCGGAGCTATTTTTCATATTAACTTTTTGATTCTATTTATATTTCTGTCGTAAATGTTTCAAAATCTAAGAGTAAAAGTGTAATCTAAGTGAAAAAGTGGTATAATCTAAAAATAAGGGTGTAGTAATACACTTGAGGTCGAGCTGCCATGAGATATGTGCGTTTTCAAAGGCTTTTCATAAATTTAAGGTCATTTTGCAACTGCATTAGAAAAAATATTCCTGTGCCTGTCCCATTCACCCAAGCTCAACCACCCAACTTTCCTTTACAGTCAAATCTATGTCTCGAGACTTGACTCAGACACGTGAAATTTCAGGCTGAGAACAAAAATGAATAAAATTGATCAAATCAGAACAACTAACCTCAAAGCAG